ATTATTTTAGGTTCGTAACATGACTTTGATACCATTTTTGGAGTGCGTACGGAATTTTTTAAGAGATTTTTGAAATTTTTAATCATTCTTAGTATTTTCTAAATATTCTATTATATGTTCTTTTGTTACTCTATGATTTATCAGAAGGATATAAAATCTAATAGTTAATTCATATCTTAATCTTTTGTGTGCATTACACATCTTATGGAATTCAGGTTTTCTTATTTATAATATCTAGAATTAAATTTATTAAAGATTCTAGGTTTATAAACTTTTTGGACTTGATTGAAGTATTTATATTTCTATAGTGGCTTTGGTTGTAAATTCTATATAAGGGGGTATTTTGGACAGTTCATTTCTATTATACTAAAACTTTGGTCAAAGGCTATTTTTCCAAACAATCTTTGCAAATAGGCTATTCTACTCAATTTCCTATTAATGTATTTGAGAATCAAAACCATTTGTATGTATACTCATTTTTAATAACTTATTAACATAAGAATGTTACGTAATAAAACATTCTGCACGTAAATTTAACATTTTTCTCTACATTTTAATCATTGATTCTCTTAAAATTCACTATTTAAAATATTATTTTGAGCAAATAATGAACATAAAAAATGTGGCTTAATACCATTCTCTATATTTATAAATGATTTATAAATATAAATACCATTGTGAATGAGGAGTAATTATTGTTCATATTAAGATTTAACTTCGACTCGATTTATAAAATGATTTATAGATTGTACATATCCAAACATATGCTTTTAGGGAGATTTACAAAATGCAATCAGTGTATAGTATGGATTTACACTTTACCAATTATATTTTGTAAATGTATATATCACATATTCTTGTTTATCTCTATAATTTTCAAAAAAACATTTTTCTTTCTCCTCTTTTCAACTACACATTTTTTAATAAAATAATATTACACGCAAAAGGAAAACTTTCTCTTATTTTTCAACAACATATTTTCCATTAACATACTATTCTAAAATACATTCTTCCAATAAAACGAGACTCAAACAAGTTTTACTAAAATTTTGTCCATTTAATGAGTTACTGAACTTCTCTCAATTATCGAGATAAACTAGATACATACAATTCATATTTTTACAGAAGAAAGATGAAAAGAAAGCGTGAGCGAGCGAGACACCTTACTCCGCCTCCTATTTATAGCTAGGCAATTCCACTAGGTTATAAAATTTATTAGGGGAAGTGTACACTTCGAGAAATGATATACTGTTATTGAGGAGCAAATCGGATTATAATTATCCTGCCAAGTCGATCTTTTATAGATCGTTTGCTATGGACAAACTAAATCTAAACTATCGAGTAAATCGTGTTCTGATACCGATAATTGAAATCCTCCATAAAACATTCACTAACACGAGACATTTTAAGAGGTTCTGATGGTTGTTGGTCAAGGGTTACAAGGGTTATGTTACCCTAGAGAGTATTACAAAAGATTTTCTTCAACGATTTGTACTCATTAAAAAAGAAAAAAGAAGAAGAAAGGAGACGCAGTAAAATTGCAGAAGGGCACACACGTATTATTTTCTATTTTACATGAGCTCATACATATGCCAGTCACAACATACTTTTAACAGGAACTACAAGATTTACCACACATTTTATAATTATTCAGAATATGCACAACCACATTGCCAGTCTAACACCAAACTATCATATATTTTTAGCTAGAACAGACCTATTATTCTTATTTGTTGATCATGGATTGATAGGAAATATGACCACTTTTCCGGTGGCTCGGTTTGTTTCCAGATAAGCAAAAGCTTCGTTGACCTTGTCGAAAGGGTAAGGCCCCTTTGGGTCAAGCACCGGCTTCACCTTCCCGCTCTCCAGAATTGGATTTAGTTTCTTCAATATTTCTCCATCCGAATGTAGCCTAAAGAAAAAACCAGGTGGTACTGCTTCACCAATTATAACTACCACACTCCCACCTTCCTTCGCTGCTTTCACTGCCCTGTCTCCTTGCCCTGTTTTGTCAAAGAAAAATGATGGCAGTGAAGAAATTATGCAATGAGGAACAATGTTTAATTCGGGTCAACAACAATAATGTAATTGAAGGGTAAGAATTCCGGAATATTGAAACTGGCGCGGGCAAATTCCTCCTCCCAAGAACTATAACATATAATCTTTATTCTCGATAAATTTTGGGTCAACTACAAGACTTGCTATATCCACTAGAAGATCCAATGCAAACTAGATGCTTAGCATTGCCACTTTTGGTTTACACCTCTCTCATCCAATCTCTAATAATGAGAGCGAGACCACATCAATTTTATGAATGGGAGAAAAATAATTTAAAAAGACAGAATAAAATATCCATTGCAGCTTCCACAAATTAAGCCCTTTTAGCGTTTCCCTTCTGAATAGTTCAAATACTAGATCTGTAGTCGTCTGATAGCCCTTACTGTTTTTTTGCAAGGTTTGTTGTGTCACGTCCAAGTGCTTATTATTATTACTTCTTGGGTTGGAATTCTATCTTATCAGGTTCAGCGAGAGTAAGATGCTCTGAACGTTGCCGTCCTGAATATAGGCACAGACATACCTCAAACATCATTGTCGTCTCAAGACCTTAGCTACTTTGGATACCTAAAAACATTGTCCAAAATGCTAAACTACTACACATGATTCATTTTTAGAACAAATCTCCAATCGTATTGTCTTAGATATGTTAACATGTCTTTCAATTTGGGATCAATCTCATAATGTGTAAACTAAGAGAATTTAATAGAACAAACATGGTTTCAAAATTAGCAGCAATTGGGACATTTACTTACCTACAGCGTCATAAACAACGTCGAATTTTTCCTGAAGGTCTTCAAAGTTCTCCTTGGTGTAGTCAATTGCCAAATCTGCACCCAAGCTTTTCAGAAATTCCAGTTTTCCTGTGCTTGAAGTAGCAGCTACCTTTGAAGCACCAAACACTTGTTTTGCAAGCTGCATCACCAAAATAAATAGATGGTTCTAATGTTTCTCTATGCCGTTAACTTAATCCCTCAGCCATTACTTGGAGCAAGCGATAGCACTAATTAACAGAAAGAGGTTAAAATCTTGTCTATTGTAATATCTAGTCATTTACACGATCCACACGGATAAACTAAGTCATAGCTTAGTGGTTTACCTGGATCACAAGGGATCCAACTCCACCAGCACCCCCTAATACAAGTATGGATTTTCCAGCAGAAAATCCCGCACTTTCAAGACCTTCATAGGCAGTTAAAATAGCCACAGGAAGACTAGCAGCCTGGGCAAAATCAAGATTTTTGGGCTTCAGAGCCAGTAACCTCTCCTCAACAGCAGTGTACTCAGCCAATGAGCCAAATCGTTTTGGTCGTTCGTGTATCATTGACTTCTCATTTATGTCCCCATATACTTCATCTCCTTCTTTTAGGCTTTTTACTTGACTACCAACTTTAACCACCACACCAGCAACATCATAGCCTGGAATAGTCTACAGGAAAAAAGAGAAATCAAAACATTAAGTTTGACATTTGCGTTTGTTAGGTGGGGTAAATTGTCGATTGCACCATATGAATCAGTAGATAATGCAGTTTCAGCGTGAACATATATGATTCTAGCTTAGCTTACATAGAAACTTTCTAACAAAGAGAGAACTTAGTTGTTCACCAAGAACCAACAAGAAATTAAGTCTTATTCCAGAAAAATTGGAGTGTGCTACATGATTTTTTTTTTTTACACTATTTGAGTCCACAGTTGAATAAAATCTGGGAAAAAGGGGGAGTAAGAGAAAGTTACAGGAGGGGATGAATCAANTTAATAGAGGCCGCCACCACCTTGATCAATACCTGATCATCCTTCACATCCGGCACTGCAACTTCGGACTCGAACTTCAACACTTCAACCCCGCCATACTCGTAGTAAATCCAGGCCTTCATTTTGGATGGTATAGAAGAAGACATTGACACGAACAGCTTTTGTGTGAGAAAATTGGGATTTTTGTGGTTTTATATTCAGATTGTGGCTGGGAAATATGGAGTCTCTTCAGTTTGAAAGTTAAGTGCCATAGATGACTCCAGACACCGACTGAAAAACGATTAACATAGTTCAGAAAGAAAAAAAAAAAAGTTCAAACCGAATTAATCACAATCATTATTTTGAAAATTATTTTTGCTACGTATTCATTTTTAATTACATATTCAAAATAGTAAAATATTCTGTAGGCACGTAAACTCAATAATTTTTTTCTAACTTTTTTTCACTAACTCTCCTAAAATTCACTGTTCAAAATATTATTTTGATCAAATAATGAACGTCATTCTCTATATTTATACATCAATTTTTCCATTAATTTATTTTTTATCTTCACATTTTTCATTATTCTATTATTTTAAAATATATTTTTACGATAAAATGAGGCTCAAACAAACTTTATACTTTAGAAATAAATGTTAATGGGGGCGAGGCAGCCATTAGGTTTTAAGATTATTTTTTTATTCTCTAAAACTTTAATTATTATTTAATTTTCACCTTTTATTTTTCTTTATATTTAATTTTGATCTAAAAATTTATTTATTTTTCTCTCTTTTATCTATCCCTCCATTAATTAAAAATTAGTTTGAGTCTTTTAACTATAATCATTTCCATATTTTTTTTAGTTTTCAATTTTACAAAAAAATTATGTATTTTTGAATCTAAGCGCCAATTGGTTTAGCTAAAAAAATGATAAAAAATTAAATCATAGTCAATAAATAATTTTAATCACATATTTCATGTGATTCACAACTTTAATCGATTCTCAACTGCATATTTCATCAGACTTTATCAATATTTATTAAAAACTGATTTTTAACGAAATCATATAGGGGTTGTAGTTTTCTTGCGAAAAGATAAGGAGAACAAACAACTGCAACAACAATTAAGAAAATTACGCATGCGTTTCTTGACAATTTTTAGCTGCAAAATAACAAGTAATATTAAAAATTATTTTACTCGACATTTTTGAATTTTATTTATGAACAAAAAATATTAATAAAATAATAGAATCAGGAATTTAACAATGTCGAAAGAGTCAAATGAAGTATTTTCGATATTTTGTAATCCGATCTTAACTTATCAAAATTAAATTTTCTTGAATGACTGTTTGAGTCTAAGAAAATAAAGTAATAGATTTTATAAATCTCACACAGAAGAAGATAATTATTTTTCAAAAAAATATTCATGAAACACCATATCTATATCTATTAAACTAATTATAATGGAATATTTATAATATTGTCTATTTTATTCATTAAGATATATTATGTTATCATTATATAAATTATAGTATGTAACATGTAAATTTACAAAATGCAGTACGCAATGTAAAATTACATTCAATAAATGGGGATATTTTTTTAATTTTTCTTACCAAACCATATCATCTAAAGGCTTAGGAGGCATTTCATTTATAGTTTCCAAGCCGTTTTTAGTTTTTTTTTTTAAAATATTCTAAATTTGTTTTGTTAGATATTTTTGAAAATTTATTTTTGAAAAATAATGTTAAGTTTATAACTTAAAACTCAAAATATATTTTTGACACTTTCGAGTGTTTTCGAGTGTTTTGTTTGCAAATCGCAGTCAACCACGAACTTTCAAACTTATTTCAATATGGTCCCTAGTTAATGATTTTCGTCCGATTTTGATTATTTTTCATCCTAATCTTCAATATTGATCCTGAAACTTACAAAGCTTCCATGCTGGTCACTGAATCTCAACAATATTTTGAAATTGGTCCCTCACAAGTTTAAAAAATGTGCAATTTATTCCCCAAACTTTCATTACATTGATTTCACTCTTGGAACTTGTGACTTTCCTCTAATTCTAAACGAGTTAGGCTAAAAGATAATCCTTTTTGCTCCATATGCCTCATTTTACCAACAATAACAATATTTACACTAAATTAAGCAAAATTTTGCTCAAATTTCCAAATACATTTGAAGTTTATAAGCAAAAAATAAGCATGTAAACGACACTTATCACTTTCTCCTACATCAGAGAAGGAAAGAAGAAAGGCAGCTAGAAGATGACAACTTGAGCAAGAGAGTACAAGTACATGAGAATAATGATAACTGCTTAGCGACTCATTAACCATTTGAAAATCCGCAAGTGCATGAGATCGTGATAAAATAATATAATGGTGCATTAAGTGTCGAACCCACGAAAACTACGTGTTTTATCGAGTTAAAGTTAATAATACTCTTAATCAAATAGCAATAATGAGTTTTAATAAATTTATATCTAATTTATCACGTACTAGAAATCAAAATAAAAGTTTTATCAATTTTTTTTAAATGCAATACAAAGATGTGGAATCCCCTTATTATTCCATTGTTAGTAAAACAATTAAAATGATTCATTGTTATCATGCGAGTTGGTCAAAATTCCAAATTTATTTAAAAACTTTTCTCGATGGCAATTAAATCTAATCTTATATGTGACATTTCTATATTTCTATAAAA